GAGTGAGTTTTAAAGATAAGATTCATTTAGGAATGGTTGTGATGTATATTTTGAGTATCAGGATATCTTGATTTTTATATTTTTGTATATATAAAGTATTTTACTATATATATTATTATTTTAAATTATAAAATATTAATTCTTTGATGAAAGAACGCCCTTCATAGTAGGAGTCTTTTTTTTATATAATTGGTAAAAATTTATTTTTAATTTTTTATCTTATCAAATTTGAAAGTTTTAATTCTTTATATTATATTATGACACTTTTAGCTCTTTATTTTACTAGATTTATAGGTTTTAACCCCTTATCTATTAAAATCAAAGAAAATAATCCTTACTTTATACTAACTATTAACTCTATTAGTTAAAAGTAAGTTTTTGTCAACTAATAATCAATTAACAGAATTAACAAAAATTATAAAATTAGTTCTATTAATTCTATTAACTGAAAGAAGATTTTTATAAGTTAACAGTCAACTAACAGTCAATTGGTAAAGTTAACAGTCAACTAACAAAACTAATAAAATATTATAAAATAAGAGTTATTTTCTTTAATTTTAATAAGTGAATGACTAAAAATATTATAGTATAAGGTAAAGGGTTAAAACTTATAAATTTAATAAAATAAAAGATTAAAAATATTATAATATAAAATAAAAGTCTAAAATCTTGAAATTTAATAAAATAAAAAATAAAAAATAAACTTTTACCATCGTAATTTGAAATAATCTCAATTGTAAATATATATAAATATATATATATAAAATAATGTGAATAAATAAATAATACTAAAATAAAATTATTAAGATAATATAATAATAAGAAAGTGATGGAAGCAGAGTTGAAAGCATCAAAGGTGGAATGGAAGCAGATACGCCTGGGCTAGGCTGACACGCGGACGCCAAGTCACGAAAGCGACGTCGTTCAACACAGTGAAAAATTGGAAACATTCATGTGTGCGTCGTGGGCCGCTCCCTCTGGTCATATTGGGCGGCTATTGCTTTACGTCTCTAATGAGGACTCCCTCTCCTCCTCCTCCTACTAAATTTCCCATTTTACCCTCCGTCGTCTCCCGTTAACACGTGACGATGTAAAATCAAACAAAACTGCCAGCAAAAAAAAAAAATGTTATATATAAAAGGGTTTTTATTTTTTTTAATTTATGTTCTTAAAATGTAATAAATATATATTTTTTATTATAAATTTAAATTAAAAAATAAAAATTAATATTTAATTTATTAATTATTTAATTAAATTTATTTATTTGACACTGATATTAAAATTGATGTCAAATTTTATATTTTTTTATATATATTTATAACAAAAAAAAATTTAACCCATATATTAAGAATATATATTAGAAAAACTCATAAAAAAAAATATCAACTGATATTGCAAATTTTTATGCAAACTCCATCTAATGAAATGACAACGTTCTAACCTCACTAGTAGGAAGCCCCTAATTCCTAGTTTATTGATAAAATCCTTAATAAATTTTGGCAAAAACAAAAAAAAAAAAATCCTAAGAAAAATTATGGTCAATTGTATGTGGGTTTTATTTTTATATAAGCTTGACTGCTTTTATTTTATTTTTTATTTTTTTTGTTGTTTCAATCTTTCTTTCTTTCTTTTTTTTAGAAAATTGGTTCTTGCTTTTTGAAAAAAAAGAATGGATTCTTGAAGCGACTACGTTTCTTTATCAAGGTGGTTTTGATATCCTTCTTTTCATCAATTAGTGCAGTTCAATCTAATTTTCTCATTGATTGCATATATGCTTCAGTCCATAAACATTTTCTCTTATTTGTTATTATAAGATGACGGGGATCGAAGGGCAAATGGAACGACAAGGAAGAAAAGTGAGAAAAAAATAGAGAGGAGATGCTTTATACATTGAAACGGGTTACAAGCTTTTGTTGAGCGGAATTCAAACCATGCTAAAGAGGCGGAGATCACAAGTGCAACTCACTCTTATGGGCCGATGGAGCAAGTGTAGACATGGCAAATAGGTCAAAGTTGGTGAGTTTAAATTGGACCATCTCTAGTTTTGGAATTATTGAGTCGTATTATTATTTTTTTTTATCTTGATTGCACAATAAAAGATAATTATCTTTTATCTCTTATTTCACCTTACTTGCATGTCATGTGATTCAAATTAAAAACTTTTTATTTCTATTAAAAGAAAATAACCACTAAGTTATTTAGATCGTTGGCTTGAATTATATCATTTTAGTTTACAAGTAGAAAGAATAAATCCATAACTCATCAATATATGTCTTAAATTAGGATGGTGGATGTAACTTTTTTTATAAAAAAAACTTAAATTTAAATTTAAAATTTTTATATTTTAAATTTTAAAAATAAATTAATTTTAATTATATTACTTTAAGTTGATCTAGCTCGGTTATGATGCAATCTAATTTGATTCAAATAATTTTAATTTGGATCAACAGCTTATAATATATTTAAGTTAAGAGAAAGAAAGAAAAGAGAAAGATTTTTTTACTAATTAAATTATAATATATAAAAAAAAAACCTTATAATTTGATTGATTAAAAAAAAAATTTCTCTTCTTTCCTGCTATTCATTTTCTTCAACTCAAATATATAGTTAGAATCATAACTTATTTTATTGCAAGTGAGTTAAGCTGAGTTAAGGAGGGAAAGATTTTTTTACTAATTAAATTACAATATATAAAAAAATCTTATAATATGATTGGTTAAAAAAAAATTTCTCTCCTTTCCTCGTATTCATTTCCTTCAACTCAAATATATGATTAGAATCATAACTGATTTTATTGCAAGTGAGTTAAGCCGAGTTAAGGAGGGAAAGATTATTTTACTAATTAAATCACAATGTATAAAAAAACCTTATAATTTGAGTGGTTAAAAAAAAAATTTCTCCCCTTTCCTTTTATTTATTTCTTTCAACTCAAATATATAGTTAGAATCATAACTTATTTTATTGCAAGTGAGTTAAGCCGAGTTAAATTTTACCAAAGTTTAGACAAGTGCAACTTTAATTTTTTTTGTTTATAAAAATTCTAATAAGTTTTTTATTGGAGGTTGGTGTGTATCAATTTTAATTTTTAAAAATAATTAAAATCTAAATTTACGTTTAAAAATTAAAATTTTATTCGATTAAATATTGATATTTAAATTTAGAAATTCATTATATATATTTATATATCAATATTTAATAAAATAAATTTTTAAATTTTGAATTAAATTTTAATTAAATAAAAAATATAATTTAATATTAGAGCTCAAATTATTTTTTAGAATTGAGATTGTTATACACTTTTCTCTTTTAATTATTCTTCATTAATAAAAGAAAATAGGTGAAAATTATCCTACCATCCATGCTATTTTATTTATTTATTTATTTTTTTTTTTTTGAGTTTCATAAATGAAAAATGACAGTTGGCCATTTCAATGGGAACTAGTTAAAACCATCCCGCACCCCACCCCCTCTTTTTTTTTTCCCTTTTTGCCCTCCAATCCCTTGGATGCCAATTTGGAATCAGTCCACACACGAAATCTTCGAGTAGGCTGCAAGTTGCAAGCTCTATTTCCCACGTTGAAGTAGACTCTTTTTTTTTTCTTTTCTTTTTTTTTTGGCGCTGGCAATCTTGGTACGTTCATGTATAATTATGTTGTTGACAAATAGGGAAAAACAAATTTTCTCGTTGACGAAAAAAAATATGGTCTTTCTACCATTTAGTCTTTTTTTTTTTTAACAGATTTTACAAAGGCTGAGTTCGAATCCTGACCTGGGGAGGGGGAATGCACCGTTGGTGGCTTTTGCTACTTGGCCCGAAGGGCTCAGTGCTTTCTACCATTTAGTCTTATTGCAAAGAGAAGGTTAATATTTAATTGATTAATTATTTAATTAAATTTATTTATATAATATATTAATATTAAAATTTATGTTAATTTTTAAAATTTTATACAAATTTATTATTAAAAAATATTTTTATCTATCCAAATAAAATTAATATAAATCTATTCCTACCCTCCCCCTTCCTTCCTTTCCTTTACTAATTTTTATCTCAACATAAGGTCAGTATTATAGTGATTTGCTTTAATTGACAGAGGAAGGGAGCGGGTGATGAATTAAAGCACTCCCACTCGGTTTAAAAATAAGCAAACCCCAACCCCAACACCTTAAATGACGAATTACACGTCAGATCTGATCTGATCCACAACAAAGCAAAAACTGCGAAACGCGAACGAACCAGCGGAACGTAACTTCACAAAAGTCAGGGGGGTACTTGCGTCATTTTATAAAGGCAAAAAAAAAAAAAAATGTTTGATACGCGTCTCTATGCGGCCCATATTCCATCGCCAATCCCTTCAAATCCCCTCTCTCCTCTTCCCCCATCGCCAAACCAACGCCCCTCTCTCTCTCTCTCTCTTCTCTCCGTTCATCTCTCTCTAAATTAACGAAATCCGTTTTTCTTCTCTGTTTTGCAACGCACGAATCAGGGAGGTATGGCTCAGAAAACCGAGAAAGAAGAGACCGAGTTTAAGGTGCCGGAAACCTTGACTCTATGCGTCAATAATTGTGGAGTCACCGGGAATCCGGCTACCAAAAACATGTGCCAGAAATGTTTCAACGCCACCACTGCTACAACCTCCTCCTCATCGCCATCTTCCACCGCCAACGCTACCTCCGGAGGAGGGGCTGTTGCTGGAGGAGCCTCATCAGGCATGAAATTCTCGGGCGAGCCATCCTCGAGATCTGGAACTTCCCGATCGTTGGAGATCCGATCCGATTCTGTTTCAGGTACAACGACGACGGGCAGTCAGAGCTCCTCGTTGGACAACTCAGGTGTAGTGGAGACGTTGTCGATGGTGGAAAAGAAGGTGGTGAATCGGTGTTCTGGTTGCGGAAAGCGCGTAGGATTGACCGGGTTCCGGTGTCGCTGCGGGGAACTTTTCTGCGGGGAGCACCGGTACTCTGATCGACACGATTGTAGCTACGATTACAAGGCGGCCGGTCGAGAGGCAATTGCTAGAGAAAATCCGGTGGTCAAAGCAGCCAAGATTGTCAAAGTTTGATGGTGTAAACATTTTCAAATCTGAATTTCATCAAGTTTCCGAGATCAGTGCTCGATCTCACCATCTATCGGAAGAAAATGATGATATTTATCAAGATCGTTTCATAGAGAGATGGTTCCTTGAAAATTATTGGAGATGAAGAAGAAAGTTCATATTCCATCAATTAATCTTTTTATTTTTCTTTTCTTTTCTTTTTTTTCCTTCTTTATCTTGTTTTTATTGAGAAATGAAAGATTATTGTGGCTTTACTACATTTTATTAGTATTTATATTTTCCATTTTTTTTTTTCAATTTTTTTAATTTTTTATTAATATATATTTTTTTTGTAGTTAATGGCACGTGTTTGTAAATTAATGGAAACTCCAGGGGGTGTGTGTGGTAATTCAGGAGTTGCAACTAGAAAATTCGGTTGGCAGGTTTTTATTGCATAAAGTGGTGGGACCCAGTGAAAAGGACATGCGGTCGTTTTTTTATCGTGAGATGATATTTTTTTATGGGGGGCTGGGGGGAGAGGGGAGCGGAGGGGAGCTACTTTTGTCTTAGTGGAGGCAAAATATCGTGATTATTTCGTTGGCATTTGACATAGCCCAATTGGGCAATGCCACGTAGGGGGTGATATAAAGCAAAAAAAAAAAAAAAAAAAAAAA